GGGTGGGGGGATGGGTTAGCCTGGTGATGGGTATTCAAGGGGGCACGTTCTGCATGGAGCACTGGGTGTTATGCACAAACAATGAATCATGGAACACTACATCAAAAACTAATGATGTGATATATGATGATTAACATAACAACAAAAAAATAAAAAAAAACTTGCATTTCTTGAATCAGTATCTGTGGGATTTGAATCTAATTCAATGGAAGACCCACAGCTGGTGCCCGAGATTAACAGAATGGCCAGGAGAGGGACCCAAGGAAGACTCAGTCCCTCCTGATCAAGCTCAACACTTAGGTGGAAACCATGTCCTGGTAGGTCTCAGGTCTGCTGAAAACAATTTCCTCAAGCCTTTTTTTTTTTCAGTCAAGGAATATAAATATCTAGCATTTATGCTAGTGCCAGGTACAAGCACTTTACAAACTATTTACTTGCCCAAAGTCACAAAGAAGCCTCACTCCAGTTACCTCCCTCTTCCTCCAATTTACACTGTCGCCAAAGGAAGACACGTCTTGTCTGTAACACAGATCCTGGGAATCTGGGTCCTCATAATCCTTAGAGTAGGGGCCAAGTCACTGCCAAATTGAAGGCTCGGGGACCAAGAAATAGGCTTTGGTCCAGCCTTGATATTGATGAGCTTGGCAAATTAACACCTCCCTCTAAACTGTGAAGATCAAAAGCACTTTATCTGACACAGGATCCCAAACCAAGTCTCTTCCTTACCATTTCTTACCCAGAATAATAACCATCCTGACTCCTGACCAGCCATGATGCAGGGTGTTTTATATGGGCACCATCTCTAATTCTGTTTTTTGTTCCATAATTTCCTAGGACACATTTCTTATGGAATGTGTCCCTAATACCCCAGGCATGTCTATAATGACCTCCTGTATTTTCCTAATTACAAATGTGTGTCTAATATGACCTGGGATGTCTCTCTAATTCCCCAAGTGTGTTCACCCTGGTGTGGGTTATCTCCCTAATTCTCCAGGTGAGTCTACCTTGACATGAATGTCTCCAGGATTCCCCAGTTGAACGATTTTTTCCCAGCTTTATTAAGATATAATTGACATATAATTAATCTCTAATTCTTAAAAGAATCCTGTATTTATCCCCATTTGACAGATCAGAAAATCAAGATCTAGAGGCTTCAGTCAGGTTCAACAGTAGGCGGGAACTGGGTCTGATCCACCCCTTTCTCCTGTGACACAGCAGCGTCTTCAAGGAGTCTCCAGGCACCAGTCCTCCACGTTGAGACTCTGTCCACTGTGCACCCAGTGCCCACCCTCCAAATACATACATTCTGAACACTCTGTGCTTAAAGACTAGTATGTCTCTACTGGAGAATGGGCGAGAGAGGGGTAGAGGGAGAGAGAAAGAGTGTGTGTGTGTGTGTGTGTGTGTGTGTGTGTGTGTGTGTGTGAGAGAGAGAGAGAGAGAGAGAGAGAGAGAGAGAGAACCCTCCAAACATCTTAACCATCTTAACATGGGCACCCTGGGGGGGATGAAAATGATTTTTCAGGTTGTATTTTGATGCACTGTGGGGCACATATGTGGGTGTTAATGTAATTTTGCCCTTAAGTGCATCTCCTCCAAGACAGGGTCCATAGGTCAACTGGTATAACGTTATGGTTAAGGGTATGAGTGGTACAGGGCTTGGTGAAGGGAGACAGCTATATGGGGGCACAATGGAGAAGGAGACAGAGTACCCCTGAGTAATCAGAAATGGGTGGAGGAGAGAAAGCACGCTGTGCCCCTCTTGCTCCTCTACACCTGGCACCTGGCTAGTAAAACCCCCACCACGATATGAACCCAACCACCCACCCCTTCTCACCATCACCAAGAGAGCTGAGCCAAGCTCTGGCCAAATTTCACCAGAAATCATGGTCACCAGCTGTGTGATGTCTTCACGCCTCCGGGATCCACTCCCTCCCAGCTTATTCATTTCCATGGTGGTTCTACCCAGCCTGTCTTCTCTCCTCATTCTCCAGCACCCTCTCCGCGCCATCGCCCAGTGCAGATGACCAATCACCCTCGACTTCCCAGGGAAAACAGAAAATAACCCTAACAGCATCCTGACACCAGAACCACAAACTTGCCCATTTGGTACCCAACTTGTTCCTGTTTTGACGCCAGAAGAGCCATCCCTCCTTCCTAAAGCCAATCTCCCTGCCCATGTAGGCAATGATCCTCCCCCCTCACCTTCCCCCTCTGTCCAGGGACCTTGGGCATCCCATGAACCCTTCTTGCTCCTGGCTCTCTGGCCTCCCCCTCCGCTGGACCACTCTCCTCGGCACTGAAACATGCTCACCTCTCTCTGGTCTTGCACACGCCCCCACCCCTGCCCAGCTGCCGCCACCTCCTCCCCAGTCCACACCCATCTTCCTAAAAAGGCTGTCGTCACCTCTCAGCCCCTCTTCTTCATCTCCCACTCACTACACAGCCCACTGGGATCTGCCTCCACCGCCCAGGGGCCTCCATGGTGCCAGATCCAATCAGCTGTTTTCACACCACATCTCACTGTCTCCTCAGCGATGTCGGTCCAACTGATCCCTTCCCTTCCTCTTGAGAACGCCCCTCCATTAGCGTCCAGGACCTCACGCTGCCCCCCTTCTCCTTCTCCAAGGCCAGCTCCTCTGCCTCTACCCAACCTTCCACGCTGGAGTTTCTCAGCCTCAGTCCTGACTCTTCTCCCTTCCTGCTCTACACCCTCTCCCCAGTTGGACCTCAGGCTCAGTTTTAATTCCCAGCTAGGTGCCACATTTCCACCTCCAGTCTTGGCACCCCTCTGAGCTCCAGATGTGAGCATCTCAACACCTCCCCCCCTCCGATATTCCCACCTGGTGTCTCCCAAGCATCTCAAGGGAAACATGTGCAAAGCTGTAGTCACGTTGCCCTTCCCCAACCTTGCACCTGTGTGTCCCTCATCCGGTCCTCCATGCAGTTAATGAAGCCACCAACTTGGGGCTTACCCTCGGTCACCCCTCAAATGCAGTGAAACTCCTCTGAACTATCTTTTAAACCTACCCACTTCTCTCCATTCCTACCACCACCACCCTGGTCCAGGCCGCACCATCTGCTACCTGGACAACGGCCACAGCCTCTGTCCTGGTCTCCTGTTCTTTTCCCCCACAACCCAGCCCCCCTCACGTAGCCAGAGTGGTCTCTAGAAAGATGATCACCTCACCACGCCACTCCCATGCTTACCATGCTTTGATGGCTCCCCACTGTCCTGAGGATAAAGTCCGCAGTCTCAAACATGGCCCTGTCATCCTCACACGGCTGCCCCCTCATGACCCTTCTAGCCACAGTGACCCTGCCTGCCTCCAGGCCCTCAAACGGGCTGTTCCCTCTGCGGGAATGCTGTGGTCACCACACCTCCCCCCTTCATCTGGCTCATTCCTACTCGTGCCTCAGCAATAGGTTGGTTTAGAGGACTTCCCTGATACTCTCTAGAGTGGGTCAGAGCCCATTACACACCCCTCAGGTGGCTCTGCGCTCCCCTCTGAAGCACTCATCGAACGCGT